TCTTTGTTCGGTTTCTTCTGAATCTGATTCTCATCCTTCTCCCTCTGCATCTTCTTCCACTTTCTTTTTCCATCCACAGTGTTGAAACCCCTAACATCGGTTTCGTTTGTCTTCGTCTTCATCTCGCTGTCCTGATTCTCTCGTGAAGGGTTTAAGACATTTGGGTTCTTGGGATCCATGATGACAAAGGTCAAGGCTTGGCGACTTTTAGGGTCGAGTGTAAAAAAATTACCAGACTTTTTTTCTTTCTCTGCTTCTCTCTCACTGAGATTCAAGGTGGGGGCGTGTCTGAGACCTTTTGACCTAGGTAAAGGTAATAACTTTTTATTTAATAAAGTTTTCATACTTATTATATATTTTTCACACAATTAAAAAATAACTTTTCGCCTGTAAGAAATTCTGAAATAACCCGACTTTTCCGTGGTTCTTGTATAACCGGAAAACTCAAGCTAATCTCACGATATGTCAATATAAAACAATTTGGTTGTATTGTATATATTTGTGTTATGTAAAAGAATACATAACTATTTATTTTGTTGGAATATCAGTTCAAGTTTCATTAGACAGTAATGGTTTGATATATAAATAACGAAAAAAAGTCTGCGCGTTACGCGTATTTGTTATACTTTGATGTTATATAATAATAATATATATATTATAATCTGTTTGTTTAATAATAATATGTAAAAAAATTAAGAATTTAATTATTAATTAAAAAAATTTAAAAATATTATGTGATTTCATCTCGATAATAAAAATATGTTGTTTTATAATATAACTATTCAGAAATATATTTACAATGAAATTAATGACCATAAAATAATATATAGATATTTTTAGTTTTTATAGATTATCAAAATATATAGTAAAGTTACCATCTTTTTCTTTTGTAGTGTATGTTTGTGAAGTTGAGTAGATCTGTAATTTAAAAATAGAGTTTGTGGTCGGTTGATAGGGTAAAAGTCTCCTGTAATATAATATATATAATATATTTTTAATTAGATTTGTGGTAAAACTAAAATGTTGATTTGTTAATTGAATGCTTTATGGTGTTTACAATTTGTAACTTATTGTTTTTTTAATAATATTAAATATATTTATTATTTTGGTTAAGTGTAGTTATAGTATTCTTGTTAATGTTTTATTTTGTATTTGTTATTTGTGATGTGGTAAGATAATATAGTTTTTTCGTTACTTGTGTTAGTTTTTTTAATATCTTTAATTGTCAGTTTTTTAATTTGGTATTAATATTGATATTATTGACCTTTAATTAATTGTTTGTTGATTTTTTGATTAATTAAATGTGACCACCAATTTTATACAAATCAGTTAATTTTGTAAAATAGATAAATTCTCGAACATTGATAAACACTATAAAATTGATAAATTCTTGAATATATTTGATTTTTGTTGACTTTTATATGTTATTGTGAATATTAGTTAATTTGTTTATTTCAATATTATATTTTTTATATTTTATGTGATAAGATTATATTGTATATATGATATTTTAATTTGTCAGTTTTTTTAATTTGCTTTTAAAGTTATTATTATTGACTTTCAATTTATTCAGATTCTCTGTATTTATTATAATTGACCATGAATTTAATATCCAGTAATTATTGTATTATGATTTCTGTTTTTGATGAGTAGTATTATATATGGTTGCTATTAAATTTAAATTTTAATAGAGTATTTTAATTGGAAGGAGATGAATAATTAAGTTATTTTTTATGTTTGTTGGTCATTTATTTAATATTATATTTATGTAGTAAAAAATATATTTCCATAACATATGTCATTTATATTATTTTATGTTTTGATTATTATTTAATTTTTATTTATTTTAATCTTGTTATTAGATACTAAATATAAGTAAAGAAAATAAAAAATGAGACACCATTTATTAGAATTTTTAAATTCAAAAGTACAAGTTAAAAAAAACTTTATAAGATTTTTATTTTATTATGATAACAGTTGATAAACTATTTCTAAATTTTTTATTTTTACACAAATTGTAAAATAAAAATATAATTAAATAGAAATGACATATGTCAATTTGTTGAGTGCCATATGACAGCATTTCAAAACTTAAATAGAAATGACATTGGTTAATTTGTTGAGTGCCACTTGAGAGCATTTCAAAGTTCATTCTAAAGAATAATAAAAAAATATTACAATACATATATATTTTTTAATCATAAATTATTGAAATCATTTTTTTTCTTAATCATATCATATTTCTTACTTTTTCAAGTAAAACTATATTTTTAATAGAAAACTTAAACTAGTTATCAATAAATAGGATAAAGAACTATTTTATAACAAAAAAAAAACTTAAACTATTTCTCAATGAATAGTAGAAATATTTAGAAAATGACACATAACTTAAACCATAATAGATAACAGTTCTAAAAAACAATAAAAGAAATACCATAATATATATATATACTGTTTAATCATAAATTATTGATATCATATATTTTTTTCTTAATTATATCAAATTTCTTACGCTTTCAAGTAAAACTATATTTTTAACAGAAAAATTTAAAGTATTTATAGTAAAAATAACTATTTTTAACAGAAAAAACTTAAACAATTTCTCAATGATTAGTAAAAAATATTTAGAAAATGACACATGACAACTTCTGAAGTGCCACATGGCAGCATATCAAAACTCATTCTGAAAAAACATCTTACTATATTAGAATAGATAGATGTTTAGTTCTATGAAATTTTTTAAGAAGGACCTAAAAACAAATTCGTACGGAGACTTTGCCATTAGGGTCCAAAATGGACAATATCATAATATTAACTAGGAGAAGTCCACGCATTGCGCGGATTTGTTATATTTTGATGTTATATAATAATAATATCTATATTGTAATCTGTTTGCTTCATAATAATACCTAAAAAGATTAAAATTTTAATTATTTAATAGAAGAATATAGTAGGGTTATATTATTTCATCTCAATAATAAGAATATGTTGTTCTGTAATATAACCATTCAGAAATATATATATACGATGACAATTTATGACAATAAAATAAAATATTGATATTTTTTAATCTTTCTAGATTATCAAGACATATAGTACAATTACCATCTTTTTCTTTTATAGTTTATGTTTATGTTTGTGGTAGAACTAAAAGGTTGATTTGTTAATAGAATGTTTTATGGTGTTTGCTATTTGTAGTTTATTGTTTTTTTTATATATAGTATTTAAGTGTTTTTTTTAATTTTGGTTAAGTGTTGGTATAGTATTTTTGTTAATGTTATCTTTTCTATTTGTTATTTGTAATGTGGTAAGATAATATAGTCTTTTGTTTAATTGTGTCAGTTTTTTTTGTCTTTAATTATCGGTTTTTTAATTTGGTTTTAATGTCTATCTTATTGAACCATAATTAATTGTTGTCGATTTTTCAATTAATTATATTTGACCACCAATAATATATTGAGGCATGCAATTAATTTGTTTGTTTGTTGATTTTTTTCATTATATTGATCACATTACATGTTGGATTTATGCAGAAACTGCAGTCTATACTTTATTTGAACAATCTTTGGTTTATTTGAACAACACAAAAATATTAGAATAGATATATATTTTTAATCATATTGATATTATATATTTTTTTAATCATATCATATTTTTTACCTTTCCAAGTAAAACTATATTTGTAACAGAAAAATTTAACCTATTTATTAATAATTAGAAAAAGAACTATTTTTAATAGAAAAACTAAAACTATTTTTCAATGAATAGTAAAAAGATTTGGAAAATGACACATGTCAACTTCTGGAGTGCCACATGACAGCATACAAAAATATTAGAATAGATATATATATATATATATATATATTGAATCATAAATTATTGATATCATATTTTTTTAATCATACTTTATTTCTTACCTTTTCAAGTAAAACTATATTTTTAACAAAAAAACTTAAATTATTTATTAATAATTAGTAAAAAAACTATTTTTTATCAGAAAAATTTAAACTATTTTTCAATGAATAGTAAAAAAAATTAGAAAATGACACATGTCAACTTCTGTAGTACTACATGGTAGCATCTCAAAGCTTGTTCTGAAAAAAACCTTACTATATTAGAATTGAATCTTTTGCAGGCAACTCTTCAAGTGATGGAACTTGGATCGTTATCTGATAATGAAGCAGAATTGGCGAGTGTTCCTAACAAAAAATAATTACTCCATGTACTCTATGTTTATGGTTATGGTGGATTTAAAGATACTTTGTCAAATAGTGGTGGATTTTAAAGTTTGTGAGCCTTTTCTGAGATTTTTTTGTTGGCTCTATTGTCTTTGTTTAGTAGGATTTGATATTATTGATATCATATTTTTTTTTTAATCATAATATGTTTCTTTATCCTTTTAAGTAAAACTATATTTTTAAAAGAAAAAATTTAAATTATTTATCAATAATTAGTAAAAAAAACTATTTTTTAACAGAAAAATTTAAACTATTTTTTAATAAATAGTAGAAAGATTTAGAAGATGATACATGTTAATTTCTGGAGTGCCACATAGCAGCATATCGAAGCTTGTTCCGAATTTTTTTTTATTATATTAAAATAGATAGATAGATTAGGGAATTGAACATAAATTTAAGAAGTCCTACATGTTTGATGATCAAATTCCACCAAAAGTCCAACAATTGGGCCCGGTTTTCTTTTTAATCGTGCTTTCAAAAAAAGACACACGTGTAATTTGTCCGTAAAAAAAAGGACATGTTTAGTTTTAGGGCCTTTTTGTATGAGCCCAGTAAGATTATACTGGGTTAATTCTTCTTCCATCGGGTTAGGGTTTTAGGTTACTTTCTCAATTCCATTTTAACAACGCTTGATCCGATTTTCAGCCGCCGATTTCAATTCAACAAACTTCAGTTTCGGATTTGAGAGATCGTCGCGGCGAATTGTGTAGTTAAGGCGAATTTTCAAACTGGGTTCGTAACTTAGATTCGTCGGAATTTAAGATGAGTGAGGAGAGGAAGAAGAGTGAGACTAGGGTTGAGTCTGAGGGAACCATCGAAGAAGTAATTGCAGAGCGCAATTCGACGAAGGAGCAGAAGAAGAAGAAGAAGAAAAACCGAGAGAATAAGGATGGGGAGATAGCTGCGCATGAAGGAGAGAAATTGGGCGAGGAGGATCTAGTTAAGAAGAAATCGGAGAAGAGAAGCTTCAATTCTGAATCTGAGGATGATAGTGGGAAGAAATCGAAGAAGAGAAACAAGGAGAAAAGGGCTGATCCTGAAGCTGGTGACGATGGTGTGAAGAAATCTAAGGAGTCAAGGGTTGATTTTGAAGCTGACGACGATGGTGAGAAGAAATCTAAGAAGAAAAATAAGGAGAAAAGGGTTGATTTGGAGGCTGAAGATGATGTGAAGAAATCGAAGAAGAAGAATAAGAAGAGTAAGAAAGAATCTGGTGGTGATGTGATAGGAAACAGTGAAGGAAATCGAAGTGGTGAGGATGCGCTCGTGAACACTGATGATGCTAAGAGGGAAACGGGAAAGAGAAAGCGTGATGATAGTGATTTGGCAGCTGAAGAAAACACAGACGAGTCCAACAAGGAGATGAAGAGGAAAAGCAAGAAGAAGAAACCAAATGTGGGTTCAGAAGTTGAAGAAAACAGCATGAGCTCTGCAGAAGATGCGAAGAAGAAGAGCAAGAAGAAGAAACAAAGTGATGATCAAGAGGCTGAAGAAAACAGCTTGAGCTCTGCAGAAGATGCAGAGGCGATACGCAAGAAGAAGAAACCAAGTGAGGATCAAGACGTTGAAGAGAACAACAATGACTCCGCGAAAGATGCAGAGGCTGAAGGGAACGTCGTGAACTCCACGAAAGACGCAAAGAAGAAAGGGAAGGTGAAGAAGAAGAAGCAAAGCGCAGATACAGAGGCTGTAGAAAACAGCAACAACGACGGCACGAAAGATGCAAAGAAGAAGAAACCAAGTGAAGATTCAGAGGCTGAAGAAAACAACAACGATTCAACGAAAGACGGAAAGAAGAAAAGGAAGAAGCAGCAAAAGGGTAAGAAGAGTGATGAAGATGCGGCCACCCCATCAAGTAAAAGCTCTAAAAAGGTGAAGTTTTCTGATCAAGTGGAAGTTTTTCCTGCTGAGGACGAAGAAAGCGAAGAAGAAGGAGGAGAAGTAGAAGAAGTAGAGCTGGTGAGGGGTAAACGGTTTACAGAGGAAGAAGACGAGTTGATAAAGAAATCAGTACAAGAGTACATCGATAACCATGCTTTAGGAGATGAAGGGGTAAAAATGATTATGGAGTGCGGGTCACACCCAGAAGTTAAAGGCTGCTGGAAAGAAATAGCTGCTGCTTTACCTTGGAGGCCATATGTTGGCGTGTACAATCGTGCCCATACTCTGTTTGAAGCAGGATCCAAAGGTATATGGACTCAAGAGGATTTCGATTTCCTTGTAGAGTACGTGAAGAAACACGGGAATGATTGGAAAGCAATTGGGGATGCAATGGGCAAAAGCAGGAAGCATGTCAAAGACGCTTGGAGGAGAATAAGACTGAGTGTGAAGAAGAAAGGGCATTGGTCGAGGGAGGAGTACCAAACTCTCTTTGACCTTGTGAACAAGGACATTAGGATGAAAGCATTCCAAGAGAAGCGAGCAAAGCACGGGATGCTCCGAGATAACATCCCTTGGATGGCCATAAGCGACAAGCTCAGAACGAGGGACCACACGCTTTGCTGCAACAAATGGTATGATCAGCTGCAATCACCAATGGTGGCAAAGGGCATATGGGCAAACGTGGATGACTATAGACTCATCGACGAGCTCACGAACCTGGATGCTGCTTGCGTCGACGATGTGGATTGGGATGATCTTTTGGATAATCGAGATGGAGATATTTGTAGGAAGCGGTGGAACCAGATGGTGCATAATATCGGTTTGCCCGGAAGCAAAACATTTGCAGAACAAGTCGAGATCTTGTCTAAAAGGTATTGCCCTGAATTGGCTGAAGACAGAGAAGATTTTGACAACAGACCCTTTGATCCTGAAGATTAAGTCTAGAAAGTTTTTTTTTATATTCATGTTCCTTTATATGTTGTTCTACTATAAGGTGATGAAAGATTTTGAATTTACTAGACTTTTTGCCATAATGTTGCACAAACTTAAGAATGTTCTATCGCCACAGATCCAGCTCAAATACTTTTAGCAATAAGACATTTTGAATCTTGGATTCTGAAGTGGATAATATTGGAGAAAGACAGTTTTAATGAAATTGGATGTCCAGCTATGGTTTGTAGGAGGTGAGAGTGAATATGAATCTCTGATAATGACTAACCGATAGCAGAGAACACTAAAGAACATAGGCAGCAAAACAGAGAGAGATGGAGATGTTTTGCTTGTTGAACTTTTTAGTCATTCCAAAGAATTCATCTTTACCAACAAAGGAAAAGCGATTACACAGTCACACTTGCGATCAAATTCAAAGCAAACCAAGTAATCCTTATAGCAAAAACCAAGTCATTATATATTACAAACAATGGCCAAAAAGTCTTCAACACATCCTTACAGACTTTGAACCCATCTTCCTCAGAGTACTAGTTCTCAACGAGCTTCGTATTGAACAACTGCAAGAGAATAAACATCTCAATGTCTTGTACAAGAAAACCAGTAGATTCACAATCCAAATAACACATTTGAAATCGTGCCATCGTAATTCACAAGACCAAAACAAAGCTAAAAACATTATTACTACACTACACAAAAGGAGGATCAACGATTTGAGGAAACTCACCTCTACGGGTACGCTTCTTGTAGAGGATACGGTACCCACACTCTCTGCACTGGATCACATCCCCAGACTTCAGAGTGTTCTCTTGTCCACAATCTTCAAAACCAAATTTCAAAACCAAATTACGATTCAGAACAAAAAGGTAACCTTTTTAGTAACCAAAATATCAGGAATCTTCATAAAAGATTAGGATTCAGATGCATATACATATCTAATTTCCCGAAATAGTGTAAGCTATGAGGAGTTCAACTCACAAAGCTACGATCTTTAACATAAGTATTGAAGTTTCCAAAGTTCCATTCAATTCAAAAACAAAAAAGTCGATGAAGTTGTCGAGAGGAAGATGATGATAGTCGAGATTACCTCCGCAGACGTAGGTTACGGGTTCTGGCGGTGGATCCATGTTTTCGAATCGAATCTGTTTAACCAACAAAGAAACAGAATTTGGGTCAGGACAAGAATTGTACACAGAATCTTTTGCACGGAACTCAGACAAAATCTCTCAGCAATGATTGATTGATTTCAGACTTACCCTAGGTTATCGCAGAATTAGGGTTTTTGAAGGGAATAACGTCGAAGAGACGAGGAATGAGGAGGAAGATCTATTAATGGCTTCTGGTTTTTAACATTACTCATTTGTATGGGCTTACACAAGAAGCCCATCTATAATATTTTAACAATGGATCCACACAAGAAACCCATCTAAACTTAGGCCGCAAAATAGGCTTTAGAGACGCCGGTCAACGTCAACGTAGACCTAGTTGGGAGACTATAGATAATTCTTTGTCCTCTACTACTTAATGTCATGTCATGTCTGATAAAAACTACACAAAAATAATCTGCATAAAGACTCTTGCCACAATGCGCAAAAAAATTAATACAATAATGTCTAGGATGGTCCAAAGTGCATACAAATAGGTGGATTGATTTTTAAAAATGCTTAATTTAATAACAATGAGTTTTAAAGTTGTTTATTTCAAATATATAATTGAATAACACTAAATTCGTCATAAATTATAAACATAACCGATTCCATTAAAATATAATATTAATAACACCATCTTAGTTTGTGGCCGAAGTGGCCAAAGAGTAAACCAATAAAATCATAAGATTCATATATATATATTATATAAAACATAACAACACATTGATTTTTTTCACAAACACAAACATTTAAATTAAAATACATTAAACAAACAAAAACATAAAAAATCATAAATATTTCTTAATTATTTTGCAATTAAATTTACGTTATTTCCATAATTTTGTAATTATTTTGACCATTTGATATTGGTCAATTTTCAGTTTTCAATCTCAATTGTTAGTCACAGTTTTTAAAAGTATTTCCATAATTGTGTTTAATTATTTTCGATCTCAGTTGATCTTCTCGATCTTAGTTGTTAATCATAATTTTGTTTGCAATCTGATTTGTTTTTCTGTTTTGCATTTGTGTCTTTAGTTTAAACTTAAATATTGGTGCTTTTGCATATTTTATGGGTTTTTTAAAAAATTTTGACGTTTGTGTTTATGTGAAAAAGATTAATATCTTGTTTATCTTTTATATAATATAAAAAACAGTGAAAATTCAAAATAATTAAATAAAACATATCTTGCTAATGAGTTGTAAACTCAAAACCAAAAAAAAAAGTCACCACACATAACGGTATTAATAATGGCTAAGGCTGTTAGAAGTAGAGCCGTTGTGCCAATTCCAATGACATTATACGTCGGAGAACTTCGTTTGAATTATGATTGTTTTTAAAGGTCAAACGAGTTGTAACAAAACATATCCACTCAGCGTAGTCCAGGACCCGAGCTAAATACCATGTAACTTTATGAATACATTACTTTAACAAATTGTGAAAGGAAAGAATTTTTGTAAGAAGGCGATCTTTAGAATTTATTTCTTATTACCAATAAATAAACATGCAGATTCATTCGAGACCCTAAGGACTCATTTAAAACCTTATTTCAAACACCGAAACTTTGTCTCATATCTAATGTATTCTGATTTGAGTGTTGGGTAATAAAATGTGAGGGCCATCTTCTCTTGGTCCGCTATAATTCTCTTCATTGCTTGTTTTAGGTTAAACCATCCTCCTAGTATTTCAAACTTCTCTACCAGATCACTGAAATAAGATCACTATGAAGATGTTGTTTATCGGTATTTCTTTTTGCGTTCTACTACATAATGTATAGTGAGCTTTAAAAACTATAAAAGAAAATTGCATTAGACTTTTGCCACAATGCACAAAACATTCAATACAATAATGTCTAGGATGGTCCAAAGTACAAATAGGTAGATTGATTCTTAAAAATGCTTAATTTGTTTTTATTACATCTGACAAATACTTAATTTAATTACAATGAGTTTTAAAGTAGTTTTCTTAAACATATAATTAAATAACATTAGATTCATCAGAAATTATATATACAATCAATTCCATTAAAATATAATATTAATAATGCTATCTTAGTTTGTGGCTGAAGAGTAAGATAATAAAATTATAAGATTCATACGCATAATATAAAACATAAACAACATATTGATTTTTTTTTCACAAAGACAAACGTTTAAATTAAAATTTATTAAACAAACGAAAAATATAATGAAGCTGCTGATGTAAAATTGGTTTTGATGGAATATAATTTAGGGGGGTGTATTGAAACAGAAATTTTAGAAGACTTTGTGGTTATTTAAAAATTACATGTTATTCAACTAATGATTTCTAAATGTCTTACCAAAGTCCATGTTATTGAACATAAAATTTATATAAAACCAATTAAAATCACTTCAACATCCATGTTATTCAATCAAGAATTTGTAAAAACCAAATCAAATCTACTGTTATTAGAAATATTTTAAATAGTAGATTTTACAAAATATTGAGTACTTTTAAATGATTTAGTAGAGTTTGTTAGTTAAAAATATAGAAAACCAAATCTCATTATGGGATTTCATATAATTTAATATAAAATCATATCAACTTTCATAATCCACATAAAATCATCTAAAATTTTATTAAAACTCAAATGTTTTCAAATTCTCTAAAATTTTAGTTTCAATACACCCCCTAAATATTTCTTAGATATTTTTTTGAGAAATTTTGGGGATATATCTCAAAACTAGATTTTAATTTGAAAACTACACTCCCATTAAAAATTAAAAAAATTTTAAGTATATATAAAATGATAAAATCATCCTTATTTTTGTGTTTATAATAATTATAAATTTTAAAAATAAAAACAATTTTTTTTAAACTGAATAATATCTTTTTTTTTATTTTGTTTTATATCTATCTGAAGAATATTATATTAAAAAATATAATTTCTGATTATTTTGGTAGAAAAACAAAGCTACGGGCACTTCTTCATTTTCATCGACCATTTCTCTTTCTCTCTTCTTTGCTGTCATCTTTCTACTTTCTTAACAATTGCAGTGTTTCAACGTTTTTTTTCCGATTCATCTCTTTAATCCTTGTAATTCATATCTTTCAATATCGCTTTATTCATGATGTAAGCAATTTCTGGATCTGATTGGAAAATTTTATCTATTTGATTGTTTTTCTGTACTGTAATTTCCGTATGATGCATCATAGATTCAGATTATGTATAAAATTCAAAGTGTAAGAAAGCTCTGTTTTTGGATTAAAAAACTCTGTTTATTTTTTGAGTCAGAAAGCTCTGCTTTTTTTTTGCAGGTTTCAAAACTTGATGTCCATATTTCACTTTTGTACGTTCCATTGTATAAACATTAATAAAAATTTAAAATATATGTTTTTTTATAAAGATAAATTTTCAAATATTAAAATTTATCTTCATAAAAATGGTAAATATTCAATATCTTTATCTTCAATCAAAATCATTATTTTTATTTTTATTTATATATCTTCTAATTAAAGTCTGGTCAAAATAGTTTTTTTACATATCAATAAGTGTAGTTATCAAAAAATCAAAAGGATGGTGTATTTTTCAAATTTCAAATTTTTATTAGGTTATTTTGCCAATTAACCCTATTTTTTTAAAACAACTATAAGTATCTATTTGATATGAAAAGAAAAAAAAAAGTCATTGAGAGAAAGTAATGCCACCGTCGCCTCATGAGGACCGACTAAGCACAATAAGCACAATAAGATCTACGAGTGACCAAAAGTTTAAAGGGAGCCTCATGTATTGGTTTGGCACAAAACTTTGAGTTGTATAGTTTCAAATTAGCTTTCGTTCTGAATTAAAAACAATGAAGCATCTATGTAAAATTGGTTTTGATGGAATAGAATTTACATTAGTTCCAAAAAAAATATTAAGTAATACTTTTTCTAGTCATAAACTCTCATCATCAACACAACAATAACTCATAAGTCTCTCCAGGTGATGACACCTAAGTTTTTTCAGGCTTTCTTAACATGACACCTCAACAAAAAAATCAACCAATAAGAATATTTTATTAATACAACTCATTTAAAAAAAACTTTCAATTCATTTGGGTCAAAATTTTTATCCAAGATTAACAACTAAATAAAATCCATTACATTTGAAAGCCCATAAGATCCTTTGATATAAATAATTATTTAAAACAAAACAAAATTTCTCTCTTTTTCTTTCAAATTATCATTAAATATCAGGTCTCCTTAATCTTATTTTATTACTCTGCCTGCTGCATCGGATTTATGCGTTCTTCTTTTTAAAGAAATATGGATAAACAACAAGATACTACTAGCAATTTTTTAGTTTACTTTCTTAGAAAACAATCTTTTAGTTTTAAGTTTGATAATTATTTTGCTTTCTTTTTAGGTATAAAGATTCCCAAATTATTATCCTATTATAGTTCAACTTTTGGCTGACTTTTCGCAGGAAAATACAATTTCACAGTTTTTTGAGAAAATGCGATTTTGACGATTTTGGCGGAAAAATGCAATTTCTCAGTTTTGTTAGGAAAATACGATATCTCAGTTTGACGAGAAAATAAATTTTCTTGGCTTTGGCGGGAATAGGGAATTTATCAGTTTGGCGGAAATAGGGGATTTCTTGGTTTCGAGAAAATTGTGATTTTCAGTTTTGGTAAGAAAACATAATTTTCGGTTATGGTGGGAAAAGCGAATTCTCGGGTTTGGCGTGAAAATGTGAATTTTCAGTTTTGGTAAGAAAACAAAAAAAAATTTAATTTTGACAATAAAACAAAATATCTTAATTTTGACGTGAAATTGTGATTTTCGGTTGTGATGGGAAATGCAACTTTTCAATTTTGACTAAAAAATGTGATTTCTCTTTTTTGATAGGAAACACAAATTTTTGACTTTTGATGGATAATATGATTTATTGGTTTTCGCGGGAAAATGGGTTTTCCTAGATTTCGAGAGAAATTGCAATTTCTCGGTTTTGATGGAAAATGTACATTTTCAGTTTTTGACAAATAATGCGATTTTTTGGTTTTCGTGGAAAAACAAAATCCTCAAGAGATAATTTAAGTTTTGGTTTTCACGAGAAATTGTAGTTTATTGGTTTTGGTCGGAAAGCATAGTTTTTAGATTGACGAGAAAATAAATTATTTAGTTTTGGTGGGAATAGACGATTTCTCGGTTTCCGCGGGAAAATGAACTTTTCGGTTTTGACGGGAAAATACGATTTTTGGGTTTTGTATGAAGATGAAATTTTTTGGTTTTGGTGAAAAAACGTAATTTCTCGGTTTTGGCGGAAAAACACAGTCTCTCGCGGGAAAATGTGGTTTCTTGGTTTTTGCGAGAAAATACAATTTCTCTGTTCTAGTGGGAAAATAAAATTTTATGTTTGAAGATAAAATGAATTTTTTTTGTTTTGGCGGGAATATGTGATTTCCCAGTTTTTGTAGGAATATGTAGTTTTTTGTTTTGACGGGAGATGCGATTTCTCAGTTTTTGTAAGAAGATGAAATTTTTCTTTACTAAAATTTCAAGTTACAATATGTTTACAGTAACCAAAATTTAATTATTTAACTTCAACTAAATCGAAAGTTCAAGAGTTTAAATAGAATTTTCTATTTGGTTTAAAAGCAACAACAATGGTTTTAATATGAATGTTATTGATTATAGTTTGGTGGTTTTAGAAACATATGTTTATAATAAATATTTGATAAATAAATAAATTTTGTACTTCAAAATAATCATATTAATTAATTAAATTGTTTTTAAATGACATTTTGCTTTACATAATTACAACGGAGGATCAAGTGGCAATTTAGTGGAGAAAATATATTATATTTACCATTACCATGAAAGTATTTAAAAATATATTGTTTTATTCTTATATATACATTTATAGTTAGTTAGCTAAACAAATTTAATAGCTATTTATAATTTTAAAAAGTAAAAAATTAAGGATATACAATATTTATTCAGATTAAAAATATATAAATATATAACTTAAGCTACTAAAAAAATAAAAAATACTCATTTATATTACAAAAATAATTTTATTATATTAAAAACATATACAAAATTTAGAAAAATATCCCGCAGCGTAGCGCGGATAAATACCTAGTATTTACAATTATTCAATGACCACATAGAGAGCCATGTATGGATCTGCAAACCATGAAACATTTTTTTTTATTTTACATAGAAATTTAAAATAGATGAAAAAATCACCATAGTTATCAGCATTGTATTTTCAACTAGGTTTGTAGATTCAGTGATCTTTTTCATCTGTCTTAATTTTCCCCATAAAAAAAAGTTCCATGTTCACAGAACCATAATGACTCTCTGTGTGACTATTTTATAATAATAATTTGATGAGCATTTACCATGAAAAAGTAATATTTGCTCTCATAGAAATATAGAAATAGTTATATGAAACAACAAAATTGTTTCGTTTTTTTTGTTCATGTTTTTTGTGTGTTCAACTATTTTATTAAATTTGTTCGTCTATTTATTGTGGTATACACAGTCAAAGATAAATCTAATTACCTTGTTTCTTAAAAGTATAAATATATGGGCTTGATTGGTAACAGTTGTAGCTTTATGTTTTTGCTGTAGAAACATAGCTGTAGAGTTTTTTGATGTAGCTGTAGATTTTATTTCTTTAAAATTTTGGCTGTAGAATTGTAAAATTTGGAAAGCATAAATTTAAGTGCTTTAGAAAATAATGTTTTGTACAGCTAAAAAAATAAAAAAGAAAATATTTTGGCTGTAAACAAATAAAGGAAAGACAGAGTTTATAAAGCATGATTGGTATGATTTAGAGCTTTAAACATAAATATTACTTTGTAAATATTTAAAATTTTCTTAATTGTTTTGTAATCAAATTTATGTTATTTCCATAACTTTTATAACTATTTTGACCATTCCATATTGGTCAATTTCCAGTTTTCAATCTCAATTGTTAGTCATAGTTTTCAAAATTATTTCCATAATTGTATGTAATTATATTTGATATCGATCGATTTTCTAAATTTTAGTTGTTAATCATAATTTTGTTTGTGACCTGATTTGTTTTTTCTGTTTTGCATTTACATCTCTAGATTAAACTTAATTGTTGGTGCTTTTGCATTTTTAATAGGTTTTTTTAATTTTTGATGTTTGTGTTTATGTCAAAAAAAAAGATTACTGTATCATTTATCTTTTATATAATACCAGAAACAGTGAAAATTAAAAATTATTAAATAAAACATATCTTAGTTGGGATTATGATTAATGAGTTAAATTCAAAATGAAAAAAAAAAAAATTACCACTCACGTCACGGCAGTATTAATGATGGCTAAGACTGATAGAAGTAGAGCGGTTGTGCCAATTCGGATGACTTTATACGTCGGAGAACTTTGTTTGAACTACGATGTTTTTAAAGGTCAAACAAGACATATCCACTCAGCATAGTCCAGGACCCTACCTAAATACCATGTACTTCATGAATACTTTACTTGAACAAACTGTGAAAAGAGAGAATACAATTTGTAAGAAGATAAGTCCCATCATTATAATTCATTTTTCATTACCAATAAATAAACATGCAGATTCTTTCGTGACCCTTACGACTCGTTTGAAACCTTATTTCAAACACCGAAACTTTGTCTCATATCTAATGTATTCTGATTTTTAGTGTTGGGTAATAAACGTGAGGACCATCCTCTCTTAGTCTGCTATTATTCTCTTTGTTGCTTGTTTTAGGTTAGACCATCATCCCAGTATTTAATGCTCTACGAATTTTACCAAAAAAAACAAAAATTGCTCTACGAAACCACCGAAAATGTTGTTTATCGGTACTTCTTTGTGTTCTACTACATAATGTCTAGTGAGCTATAAAAACTATAAAAGAATTTTGCATTAGACTTTTGCCACAATGCACAAAACATTCTATACAATAATCTCTAGGATGGTCCAAAGTGGATACAAATGGGTGGATTGATTCTTAAACATGCTTAATTTTTTTTATTAGATCTGACAAATGCTTAATTTAATGGATAGTATGAGTTGATGGGATCAGAAAATATGAAAATGAAATCTCATCTGCAGTCATCTTCTCTCTCCCACTGTTGGTGTTGCAAAGTTTTTTTGTCCTTATTTAATAACAATGAGTTTTAAAGTAGTTTTCTCAAATATATAATTGATAAATTGAATAACATTAGATTCACCATAAATTATAAATAAAAATAATTCCATTAAATTATAATATTAATAACGTCATCTTAGTTTCTAGTTTCTGGCCGAAGAGTAAAATAGTAAAATCATAAGATTCATACGCATAATATAAAACATAAACAACAGATTGATCTTCTTTCACAAACACAAACGTTTAAATTAAAATACATTAAACACGATCCACAAAGACGTGAGGACCGAACACAATAAGATCTATGAGTGGCCAAAAGTTTAAAGAGAGCCTCATGTATTGGTTTCGCACAAAACTTTGAGTTGTTTAGTTTCAAATTAGCTTTCGTTCTGAATTAAAATTAATGAAGCCGCTGATGTAAAATTGGTTTTGATGGAATATAATTTACATTCATTTCAAAAAAACCATTCAATAATACTTTTTCTCGCTATAAATTTTCATCAAATTTATAATTATTCAATGATCACACCAAGAGTCATGTATGAATCTGCATATCATGAAACTTTTTTTATTTTACATAGAAAATTAAAATAGATGTAAACAAATCACTGTAGTTTTCAGCATTGTATTTTCCCACTAATCTAGTAGTTTCAGTGATCTTTTTCATTTATCTTAATTTGTTCTGTAAAACAAAAATTTCATCGTTCACAGAACCTTAAATAACTCTATGTGTGACCATTTATTAATGATAATTTGATGAGAGTTTACCATGAAAAAGTAGTATTTACTCTCATAAAAATATAGAAATAATTATATAAACCACAAAATTATTTTTCATTTCTTTTGTTCATGTTTTTTTGTGTGTTCAACTATTTTGTTAAATTTGTTCGTCTATTTATTATGGTATACATAGTCAGAGATAAAACTAAATACCTTGTTTCCTAAAAGTATAAATATAGATATTCAAAAATATTTTAAATTTTTCTTAATTATTTTGCAATTAAATTTGCGTTATTTCCATAATTTTTATAATTATTTTGACAGTTTGATATTAGTCAATTTCCAGTTTTCAAGCTTAATTGTTTAGTCACCGTTTTCAAAAATGTTTCCACAATTGTGTGTAGTTATATTCGATATCGGTCGATCTTCTAAATCTTAGTTATTAATCAAAATTTTGTTTGTGACCTGATTTGTTTTTCTATTTTTGCATTTGCATCTTTAGTTTAAACTTAATTGTTGATGCTTTTGCATTTATAATGGTTTTTAATTTTGACGTTTGTATTTATGTGAAAAAGATTAATGTTATCATTTATTTTTATATAATGCAAAAAACAGTGAAAATTCAAAATAACTAAATAAAACATATCTTAGTTGGGGTCTTGCTATGGTTAATGAGTTGTGAACTCAAAACGAAAAAAACTAAAGGTTACCACTCACGACAGCATTAATGATGGCCAAGACTGATAGAAGTAGAATAGTTGTGCCAATCCTAAATACCAAGTAACTTGATAAATACGTTACTTGAACAAATTGTGAAAGGAGAGATTTTTTCTAAGAAGATAAGTCCGATCTTTAGAATAATGTCTAGGATGGTCCAAAGTGCATACAAATGGGTGGATTGATTCTTAAAATAGAAAGAATCGCTGAAGGAATGGTCCAGATTCCATCGCCACAGATCAGTCCTGAAGCCACCGCACCGGAGTAATCATCTGCGTCTTTCTTATTCACCCGTTGCCATAAGAACAAAACCACACTTCCAACAAACATGTCGATGGCGAAGTAAGCTCCAATGTAGAACGGAGCAGCCATAGCCATAGGAAGTGGTACAAACTTAGAGACCTTCAACGGTGTGACGTCTCTGACAAGATTCACAATCAGAGCAGCTACAAAGAATCCGCAACAGAGAGCCAAACAGTGCTTAGGCAGTTTCGCAAACCCTTCAACACCAAGAATAGCCATTTCACGGTAGATAACCGCGTAAGGAGCTTTGTAGAGACCATCAGGGTCTCCGATGTCGAAAGCAGTCCAAAACAGCCAGAAGGTGAGAGGAGCGATCACGCAGCCCATTGCTGTACCCAAAAGCTGAGTTACAAACATGGATTTTGCAGATGATAACGTGAGGTAACCTGTTTTGAAGTCTTGCATTAGATCTGCTGCCGTTGAGACGATCGTCATCATAACTCCACAAGCTGCTAAACCGGCGATGACTCCTCCGTTGCTTCCTACAATGGAAGCGATGGTGAAAAGACCGATCTTTCCGTAGGTTGAAGGCAGGCTCATATCCGTGAGTCCGGCTCCATAAGAGTTGCAGAAGGCAAGAGCCGGTGCAAGCAAGTATGAGCAGAGGACAAAGTACCATTTCAACGGTGGGAATATCATTGGGATTGTTGCGGTCGAAACCGCTGCTAGACAAACGTAACCGGAGACCGCGAAACCGAGTGGTATACGGTCCTTTAGAAACACTTCATCTCTTTTCTTCTTCTCCAGCAGTGATTCTGCGGTCTCATGACTCTCATCTGAATCAAGAAACGCATCTTAATAAGTATCTGTTTTGAGACAGGATATTACTTATGAATCAAGAAAGGTCACCTAAAGTGTCGGTAAAGACAGGTAGGTCTTGTTGTCTGTTGGAGCTTTTGTTGTAGAGCTCCTTCACAGTGACAATAACGATCTTGATGATGTTGTAGAGACCATCACCAAGGATGATAGCAATGGCGATAAAAACCTGTAAAAGCATCAGTAACCGCAAAGAGTAAGAACTTTGACGACAATCTCTTTTAGATATTGATCTGTTTCTTCTTGTACCTTATATCCGTAGAGACCTTTGAAATCGTTGGCTTCAAGGTGAGCTGGATACCAGTCTCCTGCATGCTGTGATATAAACGGCCAGAGAAAGCCCCAAGAGATGATGGCGCCGAGAAGAACCGAGCAGTTCACTAAATGGGGACATATCAGACCACATCCAATAAAAGTAGGACTGAAATCAAAGTAGAACCTGCGCACCAAAGTAGACAAAAAATCATGACTCGTTACCAATTATAACCATTCTCATTCTAATTAGAGAAACTATGGAACTTACGTGTTCTTGTAAAGCGTCAAACCAAGTGTGGGAAAGTGATCAAAGCCACAGGAATCTCCAATACCACTAAAGAACCACTTGAAGCAACTCCAGAGGAAGCTAAGGCTCAGGTATTTCCCAAGACATTTAACTTGGACTCTGAAGTGAATAATACAATATTGGAGATGAACATTTAATGAAACTGGAGCTATGGTTTGAAGGAAGTGATATTGACAGTTACCTTGCAAGCTCTGCTCCAGAGTTGTCGTGGAAACTATTGATCAGCATTGCTGTAGCGGTTCCACTGGGATACGTAAGCTTGTAGTCCAAAATCATCACCTGAGATAGATACGTTTTTGTATAAGGGATCAAGAAACCATACAATACAATTCCATGAAAGCTCTTCTCTTTCTTAGATTTGCTTTTCGTTATCATCATCATAGAAGTGAGATGCTACCTTGCGAAGTGGAACGAGACTGAAGAGACCGAGGAAGCTGACCACGAACAAAAACCCAATCATCCACCACAATCCAGGGTTTATAACATCTTCTGGTTTGTTTCCTGGATAATCAACACCAATGATCTTGTATGTCCTCTCATCCATAGCAATCAAGTACGAACCAAATCCTCCTGAAAAAAACACAACAAATCAAGAAACTTTATCAGATGACTAAACCAAAAAGCAAGACCAATACTCATCATCCTTATATCACTAGCAATCATAACTGATCATCAATCAGCAAACAGTCACACAGATCGCCAAATTTAGAAGCTTTTTATTGTAACATCCCACACAAGATTAACTTTTGATCATAGAGCTTGTTCATCAGCACAGAGGAAAGTAAACGTAATCAAGAAGAAGCTAACTCTACACTACAAGATTGGCATTATAAAGGAACAAGGAAACCAAATTTTCAACATTTAACGATATTAATCTCACTTACCGCTATAAGCGAGGCCGTAGCACGCGACAACGCATGTCTGAATAACAGTGTTCTCTTGCTTAGTGAAGGGTTTAACAGAGAACCCTAATCTAGACAAGAAACCAGTCCAAGACTTGACGAAGAAGAAGCCGAGAAGACCAGCAGCTACATTCAGCGAAGGAATGATTCCGACAGTCAGATTCAGCTTATGTGTAATGATACAGAACAAAGTCCCCAGCAAGGCGCTAGCGATTAAGCCTCGGATCGTGATCTGATCTCTCCAATGAGGAACATCCTTATCGCAGTGATCCAGATTCGTCGTGATTTTTTCCGGTGATAGCAATGTCTCTGAGATCTCCGTTGACCTAGGAACCTCCGTCTCCATAACTTCCCTTCTCAAAACTTAGCAGCTAAAATTTTGAAATTCCCGGCAGATTTTTCACCGGAAATTAACTCGGAGTTTCGAAAATGAAGAGTCATATTTTTCAGTAGATTTCTCTGAGGTGACTGAAGGCGGCGGACGAACACAAACATCGGGAAAGAAATGGTAGTTGACGAATTGCGGTTATTCCATTGGTTAAAACATCGAATTAGAAAACGCCACGTGTCATGTTGTGAATCTGACGTGTAGTTTTAGTCTCCCGCCTTAATGTTTATATGTAGATGTCCAAAAAAAATGTTGTGGAGTCTATGTTTTTTAAAATATCACGTTATTGGAAAAGATAATTCAGTACAATTTAAAGTATTTCACTATTAAATTGATAATATTTTGAAGAAAAAAAAACGTTTTAAAATCATATTACATGAACATTTAAGAACCAGTGAATTTAAGTAGGAAAAAATATGCTGTCAAAAAAAAAAAATAGAAAAGAAAATTAGTTAGAGTCGCAAGTTGAAAAATAAGTAGTGAATAGTTTGCTTTTATTCTCCAAATCAATGTTTCTCTCTCATTTGTTTTCTACAGAATCTTTCAATCATTCATGAGATTTTTATAGATTCAGATTACTTTACGATCAATACATATAAGATGATCTCAAGTTGGTCTTTATGTTCAATGAGTTTGCCTATAGTTTATCCATGCCAATAAGTCTCTAAAGATATTCATCAATTATTTTCTGGTCTTTGGTCCATTGTTTAAGTTGATTTTTCAGCTGTTGTTGATGTATCTCCGACTAGATTTTGCATATGTAGACGCAAGAGTGTGCCAAATCTCATAGAACGTGGTGAGTCTGGACACAAACGATTGAATCTCAGATAACTCTGCAAGTGATTACACACAAAACTTTCAACTGATTATGCTTCAAACACCTTGAGAGACAATCCCGTCATCGTATTTCTTCTAAACTGATACCGAATCAAAATCTTGAGATGATGTTTTTTTTTTTTTTTTGTAATGTGAAAGTTGCATAGTCCAACCTAACCCTCATTAATTCATAATATAGTATTTTACTGCCCACAGATCTCTCATCTCCAATTCATCACTGGCGGTTGCGTTGGAACGACATGTAATTTGTAGTATTGTACTGCTTTAATTATTGGAATATTCAAGTATATTTTTATTACTCTAGAAACTCGAATATATATGAACGATAAAGTCTAAATTGTAATGTACCACGTTTTTAATATGGAAGGACCTGTAAATTGTGATATTGTACTGCTTAAGTTATAGGAAAATATATAGATATAATAATTCAAGATCCGCATGCTACGGCAGGTGGTACAGAAAGCAACGTAGAAAATGATTAAAATGCGTGAGAAGAGAAAACAAAACTTATATCATGAACAGCACTATGTTTAATGTTCTTGTGACGCCATTAAAATCCGAAGATGATTGTTCAATAATTTAGGAAACAGAATACTTTAACTGTTCAGACGCCATTAAATTGCTTTGTTTCCAAGTAAGGCTTCTTTACCTTGCAACCTTTGTGCCTTGACCCACACGACTTGTCCTTTCTATATATGCCCTCCTTGTGATTTTGTGGTTCATCAAAGCTGTATCAAGTTACCACGTGTCATAAGGATATCTCGCCATCCCCATCGTATCCCGTTCACGCCTTCTTTTGACCAAAAAAGGGTTTTGTTTTGTTCTGCTTGTCGAAGAAAGATCGACAATGATTATGGAGGCTATTCTTGCATCAAGAACGGTTGTTCGTATGATGCTCACTCAAAATGCGCCACACATAGCAACGTGTGGGACAGTCAAGAACTTGAAGGAGAGCCTGAAGTAACTGAAGATGGAGCAGAGTTTGAGCCGTTTGTGAGGATAAGCGATGGAATCATAAAGCATTTCAGTCATCAACAACATCTTCTGAGACTTGATCATGAGAACACATGCAAAGACGATTACTACGACGACAATAAGCACTGTCAAGCATGCATCACGCCAATCTATTTCGGTAACTTCTACTCATGTACACAATGTGATTTCACTATGCACGAAGCATGTGCAAACCTTTCTCGCAGAATACATTCGCATCCGCTCACTCTAGTTGGAGGATACAAAGGTGTTATGGACTTCCTTGAAGATAGATGTTCAGCTTGTAGTTGGATGTGCTGAGATGGTTTCTTCTATGAGTGTGGTAAAGAAGGATGTCATTTTATGCTAAACGTGCAATGCGCCACAGTTTCCGAACCATTAGTTAATGAGAGTCATAAGCATCCTTTGTTCCTAACATCCCCACCAGAAGAGCGGAGAATGTGTTCCTTGTGCAACTTTTCAGATCTTTCCAAGACAAATGAGACATTCAACTGCATTAAGGATAAGTGTGAATTTGCATTGTGTTTCAACTGTGCTACTATACCTCAAAAGGCGAGGTATAAGCATGATAAGCATACACTCACTCTTTCTTATAAGAAGGTGACAAGTAGTCATATCCATCATTTGTTCCGAACATCTTCTTCGTCAAAGTCTTGGTGTGAGGTTTGCGAGAAGGAAGTTGGTGAATCTTAGATTCAACCTTGGATAATTCGTATTTTATTGATAACAAGAATCGAAAGATTACAAAACGGACTCGTCAAAAGTACTGAAAAGAGGGTTCCCACAAATTGGGATCCCGAGCGAGAAGCTCTAATACAAAAGTCGACCTCCAAAAAGTAGAAGCTCTTGCAAATATGTGATTAAAGCCTAATTCCGTAAAACCCGGAGTAATGAATGCGTTTTTTGTACTGCGTACGGTCCTATTTATAGGGAATTAGGACGGTGACTTTGATGGGCTTCGCAGGCTTTCCGGTGAAATGGGCCAACTCGAACCTTCTTCATGTATTTGGGCCGACCTGACTATGCTGGGCTTTAGCCTCGAACCTGGTCGAAAATTGCTTCTTCTTGGGCCGAACTGGTCTTGGGCTGAGCTAATTAAATGGGCCTTGATCAGGCCCAGTACCAACAGTAAGTCCCCCCCAGTCCGTTTGGCAAAAAAGTCTTGATTTCGAGTCAACGGATTCTTCGAAGATTGTTGATTCGGCTTTAATCATGGTCGGCCTAAAAGTGGGTCCGGTACGGAAGTTGTGAGGATTTACTGGTTCCAATGCGGGTCCCGGTCGCTGCTTTAGGTAAAGTTGGCGCTGCCTCTTCCTCCTGCCTATAAATACCTCCTTCTTTTTCTCTTATTCTCCTCTCCCATTCTACAGCATTCTCAAGAGGTAAATTTCTCTCTTCTTCTCTCCTTTGTTTCCTCTTGCGTTTTTTTATTTTCTTTTGGCGCTAGAGGGAGGGGTCTGCTTCGGCATTAATCGCTAACCGTCAGCTAACGTCGGCATCGGCGTTGGTTTCTGAATTCTGGGTCGTCATCTCTAGTCTTCGTTATCAACAAGGACAGTGCTTTACGCTGGCGATTTGAAGATTTGAGAGCTCGAACTGCTGTTGACGACGGCTGCGGTTTCTTGTGTACGGTGGATCTTTGAAGTGGCATCGGTCGGCATTTATGTGCGTTCTTTCTTCCTTCTCCTGATTTCAATCGGGTTTCTGGTTCTTTAAGTTCGACGTTGGCGGTGGCTTCTTTTAGTGATTGGCTATGTTGGTTTTGGTTGATTCTTGCTTCGGACCTTTGTTCATCGTCGCTGTATCAGGTCGACATTTAGATATAGCTTGGCTATAGAGGTCGGTAAAGTGAGAGCTTTTGGTCGGCATTTGATTAAGCTTAAATTGCTGCGAGGGTTCGATCTCCGGCTTTGGTTGTGAAGGTCTTCATCCTTGAATGGCCGGCTTGGAATGCCCAGGTCGGCATTTTTCTTGAGCTTTGGTGCTGGGTCTGGTTCGGGATTCAGTCATTGTTACTGTACCGGGTCGGCATTTTTAAGTGCTAAATTTGTGTGACTGATATTTGACATCTCTCGGCCGGCTGCTCCTTGTTAGATAGTTCAAAGGTTGGTTTAATGATTGTTGTGGCGATAATTTTGCTGGATTGCCGCTGTGTTTCAGCTTTGAATTTCTTGCTCGTATTTCCTTATTATTTTCACTCCGAATTATCCTGTAGGTCGACGTGTTGCTCTGCTGGCGCAGGTCGGCGCTGTTGTCAATTTCGAGCTTGGCCGTTATCTTTGTTTTCAAGGTCGGTTTCTACTTCTTGCTACTTCTCTTAGCCGATCTGTTTGAGGTCATATTGCTTCAATTTTTGAACAAGGTCGGCAATTAGCTTTGTCATAGATCCAGGTCGGCCGTTTGTCTTGGATTTGAATAGATTTTGCTTTTGCTTTATGTCGAGGTTGGCCGTTTTGTATCAAGGTCGGCTTGATTTTGATTATGGGCCTAGGTTGTCCTGATTTCGCTTGGGTTTAGGTCGGCTGGAATCCTTTGTCATTGATCATAGTGCGAGTCTGTAGTTTCTGCTTGGTAGATTTCGATGCTGTTTTGATACGATTTCACTCTGTTTTCTCTTACTTGTAGGTCGGCACTCCATTGAGGTGGTGCAGATCGGCGTTGCTTTTTACCTGATGGCTAGGCATATATCTCAGGTCGACCCCTTTATTTTTCCGTTTGCGAAGTAGTTAGCTTGACTCTTGGTGGCGGAATTTTTAGATAGGCCTGACTCTTTTGGTAGCCGATTTTAGGTAGGCCAGTTTTGTAGGTATGCCATTTATTTTTAGGTAGGCCAAGTTTCTTGGTAGCCGATTTTAGGTAGGCTAGTTTTGTAGGTAGGCCAAGTTTTTCGGTAGCCGATTTTAGGTAGGCCGGTTTTGTAGGTAGGCCAAGTTTTTCGGTAGCCGATTTTAGGTAGGCCAGTTTTGTAGGTAGGTCATTCCCCCTCTTCTTTTTTTTTCTTTTTTTAAAAACTTGGTTGCTCTATTTTCCTTTTGCAGATGGGGAGGATGCCTCCTCCGAGAGGTGTTCAACCACGAACTGCGGGTCGGCCGGATATGGTGGCCATTATTCCGAATGGGTCGAGGTCGGCCTCGCCTCCGGGGAGTATTGATTCGATGTGTTCTACTGGTGGTTCCGGATCACCATCTTCCTCGGCCGAGACGAGATCAGGTCCGGATGGTTCTGACGCGGACGTTGATACCCCCATGGCGAGTAGGGTGACTGGTCGCGGTAGCGACGTTATTAGTGAGCGCGTCGTTTCGGCCCGTCCTGATGCAGGGTCTCCGGAGCCTTGGTCTCCTTTACTTTCTTCGGGCCGCGAGTTTCCTCGTTCTAAGTCGTCGACGCAATCTTTGGAGAATATTCGGTATGCTTGTGGGGTTCCTGATTTAGAGTTTCGAGTACCTGGGACGAACGAGCGTCCTTGGACCCTCCCTCCGGGCTGGGTTTGTCTCTACGAGTTTTGGTTCGAGCACTGTCAGTTGTGGTTTCTGCTGTCGAAGCTCCTGTTGAACTATTGTGAGGCTAGGGAGATTGCGTTGACTCAGCTTTGTCCGGGTGCGATCCGTAACATGGTCGGTGCGATTTTAGTGGCAGAGTCGTGCAACATTGAGATGAGCTTTTCTTCGAGGAGATATCGAGCGTATGTTGGAATACCAGAGGGGCCCAGCAAACGGTTGCCGTGAATATGAGATCGGGGAACAAGGTTGTGACTGGCGTTGCGAAGAAGTCGCATCGTTGGTGGGGTCGTTACTTCTATGCCCGGGTAAACTCGGCGTTAGTTTGTGGTGGCGATAATAGGACGTTTGTGGATCGATGGAGTTCTGAATTCGGTAGACTTAGTGATTTTCCTTGTTCCCGTTTTTGATGATACTTAATTGATCTCTGTTCATTTCCTTTGCAGTTCTACATCCGGTTGGCGAGGAGCGTCTTGTGGGTTTCGAGGAGGATCTTGCGAGGATTCGACAGTTGGGAGCTCAGCGGTGGTCTATGATTGTTGAAGCTCGGAGAGCTAGGGAGTTTTGTTGCGGGATTACAGGTATTTGTTTGACGTGTTTCTTTTATAGCGAGTTCTTCTCTGCTTCCCCTTTGTTTTTTTTTTTAAAAAAAAAAAAATTCTTGTTTTGCAGTTCATTTCGACGAGACAGGGAAGATGGAGAAGCGGTTGTTGAATGTTCCTAAGTTCTCCGGCAAGAAGGCTCCATTGGCATCTTCTGGAGATGCGGCCGGCTTGTCTTCGGCTGCTCGGAGAGTTGGGGAGAAGGATAAGAGGCCAGCCGAGCCGGAGGCGAGAGACGCGAGGAGTAAGTCGTTTCCGATTCGTCTCGTGCGGGTGAAGGATACCGCGGGAAAGGGCAAGGTCGGCGAGGCTCTTTCGGTGAAAGACCCGGGTCGTCCTGAGGGTTCTACTCTCGGCGCTGTTGTTCCGGTGCAGCACGAAGAGCGTCCGATGGTGTACGCGCTCTCTTCGGGCAAGGGAACGTCGGCGAACGTGATGGTGCTCTCGGCGAGGCGGCCAATATGGTCGGCGGGCCTAGCGAAGTGGTCGAGGATGGCAAGGACTTCTCTTTTTCGTATCAGTATGATGGGACTGATCTGTTCGCTTCCAACCCGGATGCTTGCGTTGACTTATACCGGAAGATCAGTCATTCCCACAAAAAGTATGCTCCTTACGATGCTGATGTGGTCGGGGCGAAGATTTACCGGACGATCGCTGCTTCTACTCTTCAGGTATTCCTTCTAATGTTCTTTTTTGTTTTCCTCCTTCTCTTTTCTTTTTTCATCTTACTATTCTTCTATCATTCTCTTTGTTCTCTTTTCTCTTTTGCGTGCTTGATGTTGAGGTCCATCTCTTTTGGTTGACTTTTTTTTTTGGACAGATGATGGCGAATACTAACCAGCTCGACTTCTTGCTGCGCCGAGATATGCGCAAACTAAAAGACTCACTTGCTGTTGAGCGACGAGCTAGGATGTCCGCGGTTGCCTTGATCAGGCCCAGTACCAACAGAAGTTGACACTGATGACTGGTTTTATAAGTGTGATGAGTACAATTGCGTCACGTTACACGTTCGTTGCCTGCTTGGGGGTGACGATTATATGCGCCCCGGTTCATCGTGGTTTCACCTCAACAGAAAGGTGGATGTTCTGCCCAATGATCATCACATGTCTCGACCTATTTGCTTCACTTGTCGGAAGCGTTGTCCACATAAGATCGTTTTCAAGATGTATGGGTTGATACTTTGTTCCACATTTTGTGTTCGTGGAACTCACCGTGACTACTTAGCTTGACGGCCATTGTTTTCTTTTTGCTGCAAGAAATATTGCATTCTGTTGTATTGATTAATTACTTCAACACTGATATGTTTAATATTGTTACAGAGCAAACTACTGTAACTACAGAACATATAAACCCACATTATGATCAATACTCTTAAGTTTAATTGCCCAAATATCATAACCGAATTTGAACTATACGGTCCTCTTTGGTTCACCATCAAGTGCAAGCCTGAGATGCAGAAGATAACAACAAGATTTAAACTTTGGAAAAGGCTATAGAATTGAAACATAGATCATCAATTCAAAACAGAAACTTATTATAAAGAAGAAACTGAAGTGATGACTATCATTGATTTACATTCAGAGGAATGTTTTAATCGGTTATAGTTCATACATGGAACAAAGAGTTTCACAGTGTTCATCATTAGAGCCAATACCAATATCCAATCTTTAATACCAAACAACCACATTCAGTCCCGATTAGTAGCAAAATATAGAATACAATCAAAGCTAAACCCAAACCTATGAAGAAAACAATCAAAGTAAACCCTTAAAGGAAACAATTGGTGATATGATATCATCTTTACACAGTCATCTACTTTTTTCGCAATTCTTTAACAAAAGGTAAAAACAAAAGCAGAAAAACACATACCAAGAACAATCTGTAAAGCAGTTGTTGAAAATAGAAAACATAAACAATAAAAAAAGCAATTGATTGATTAATTAAGAATAAAGAAAGTTCATAGACAATAAAAAAAAAAGGAAAATTCCACTTCAAGAATACAATACCTTTCCTTGGTAGACTTCACAAAGCTTAGCATCTAAAACCAATTCCTCTCCTTAGCCACCAAGAAACCCATAACTCTTCTTCTACATAAGCATTACAAACTTCTCCATTCTCAAGCTTTAATTTTTCCATCTTCACCTGCAAAAAAAACAAGAACCTGTTACACACAAACACATCTCAGATTATAGATTGTGTGGAGATATGAGTGCAGATTGGGGACCAGTGATTGTAGCAGTGGCTTTGTTCATCCTGCTCTCGCCAGGATTGCTCTTTCAGCTACCGGCGAGGACAAGAGTGATGGAGTTTGGGAACATGAGCACAAGCGGCATTTCGATTTTGGTCCATGCCATTATTTACTTCTGTATACTCACTATCTTGATCATAGCCATACAGATTCACATCCATTTCTGATCTTGTAGTGTAACAAAGGCAAGCTTCATTGAATTCAAAGTTCGCCTTTTTCCTTCTTATTATGTTTTTGTTAATCTCTGATTCTTGGCTCATAGAGTTTCAAGCAGGGAGATAAAAGAGGTTGTAAACAAATAAAAAAATCTGTAATTTTTGTATTCCACTACTCAATTTGTAAACTCTGAGCACCTCTAATCAAACATCAATTGAGGAAAAGAAAACATTTGTATTCTCTTGTGGCTTCATTATCTAATAATTCAACACAAAGCATCTTCTTTTTGCTTCAATGTTTGGTTTTTTACTACAATTTATGGCTAATCTTCGATTCTTTTCTGATAGTTTTCAAGCTTTTTTAGAATAGTCTATAGACAAATCAAAATCCGGAATTTTTGTTGTTCCACGATTCAATTTCTCAATTCCCAGTAGCTCTATAAGACTATCGAATCACACACAACAAATTCGATTAAAAAAAGTTTAATTTTCCTTTACCTTAATCGCAACAATACAAGCTTACATTTTCAATAAAACAACACAACAAGTTTCTGTTTGTTCACAGCTCAAGAGCCAGACAGTAGAACAGAGTATATAGAAATCCTAAAAAACAGAGTTCCAAATCTCAGAATCCTGAAACCCCCAGACTCAAAAAAGGGTTACCTTTATTTCGTCAGAAAACCCAAAATCAGCCGGTGGTGATGTGGAGATTGACTGCGAGGATCAAGATCGTGTAAGCAGCGAAGAAGATGAGTGTGTGGACGGCGATTGCTTTGCCGTTGGTTTTCATGCCGCCGAAATCTAGCGTCCGGTGATGTCCCGGCAGCGAGAAGAGGAGTCCTGGAGAGAGCAACACGAACAGCACAACTCCGACGAGAACTGGAGCCCAATCTGCCATTGCCGTGAAAGTACAAAACGCAAAGGCGACGCCTTTTTTCGATAAAGTGGTGGTGAGAGAGAAGACGGAGTTGAAAGAAAGTGGAAAAGCCGAGGTAAAAGGGTCTACAATTTCAGTTGAATCCAATATTTTAATTGTTTAGTTTTTTTTTGGGCAAATATTTTAAATGTTTAGTTAATTTTATGTTTTTAGCTTTGTTTGAGTTAAAAAGTTCAAAGAAAGAAAAAAGTAGTGGTAACCACTTCAGTTTTTGGTTTAGTTTCAGTTTGGTTTTTTCGGTTTTACAGTTTATCGGTTTTACAAAAATTTAAACTATATAAAAATTATATATATTTCAGTTCGGTATAGTTTAGTTTTTTACGGTTCGGTTTGATATAGTTTAGTTTCAGTTTTTTTTTTTAAATTATACTATTACAAAAAATTTTGATTCAACTAATATAAATAATAATAATTGATATGAGTGGAATTAAAACAATAAGTTCAAAAAATAGAATCTAAATCATAAAAATTCATCAATAAGGACATATTTCAAAAGAGAGAAACAAACAAATTATCAAATCTTTCATAATCAATAATTATAAAATAATAAATAAATCTAGATTAAAATTTAATACCTATAATTTTGGAACTAGAACTAGAAGACTTGAATGTAAAGAAAAAATGAGTTAATTATATTTTTTATTTAAAAATTAAGATTTACTATATGTAGATATTTTCTATATATATTATATTTTAAATTTACAAGTTAAGTTAGTACATTATAAATAAAAATAGTTAAGCCTAATAATAAAATATGTACTTAAACTAAATTAAGAAACTAGAAAATATAAATTATTTAAAATTTAATTTAAAAACTGGAAGAACTTTTTGGTTTAGCAGTTTTTAACCAAACCAAACCTAAACCAAAGCTATAAAAAAATAATGATCAAATGGATTTTTAGGTTTAACTATAACCAAATTATATTATTTTTTCAGTTTGGTATAATTTGGTTTTTTCGGTTATAGTTTTTGTGCCCACTCTTAAAAAAAATATAGAAATCTTGTTTTTTTGTTTGATAAAAAAATGTACAAAATAAATATGGGAATATATCTAGTCAATTACAGAAGAAGAAAAAATCGAAGATGTAAAAAAATGTCGGAAAATATACTTTAATGCATTACGAAAAAAAAAAACTTTTTAAGTTAAGCAAATCAATGTTTTAAGTAAATGTGTGTCAACAAATTAATCAAATCCAAATCAAAAGATTAGTAGAATTTTTTTTTTTGGTTTAAAGATTAGTAGAATTTTGTTTTAACAAAAAAAAAAAAATGTAACTGGAATTTGGAAAAGTAAGATTGCCACTTGGTAAACAGTAAACACATCTCCAAGTGTAAACGCGTTACGCGTATTTCACAACTTTGTACGAGTTGTTTTGTAAAGAATCTAAAGGCAATCAAGTACTTACCTGAGAGTGAGAGAGGTCTATCTTTTTTACCATTTCTTTTTGCAAAACATTATTCTATCTTATACGGATATGCTATATGCCTAACTATAGGTTAATTTTAATATACGCACACAGTAGACTAAGATGGGAGTAGATATAATAATTTAACACGTTTTGTGTTTTCTCAATAGAAGGGATCATTTTAAATTATATATACACCAATAAATTTGATTTTAACAATTTGGTAATAATATATATATATATATGTCAAATTGAAAAGCAGACAAATGTTATTCTCTTTTTACGGAATACTAGTGTTTTATTCACACTACGCGTGGATTGTATAATTATATTGTAGTTTTATAAAAGACTATCAATTAATTTTATGTTTAATATTGTTATAAATTCTAGAGTAGTATATTTGCATGTGACTCTTAGATATAGTCGAGCAAAATAAATATCAGAAAGATGTATAAATATATGTGAAAAGATGATCGAAATTTTTTGTATAATAATTTAAAAGTAGATTAATGTATCTTTTGGCTTAGTTAAACTTTTTTTTAAGAAGTAATGCATATTTTTGCAAATATGAAAGGTAAAGTTTGACATTTTTGTAAAATAATTTGATTTGTAATTTTATTATATTTTTTGTTTATGTAAATAGTATCCACATGAACTATATATTATATTAGAAATCTATTGTCTAAATTTGGACATCTTGTGTTATAATGCTATTTCTTTAGTGAACACCATGAGTATTTTTTTTATACTTTCAAAAACTTTTTGCATAAGCTTCTCTTTCGCTTGATGCTTTTAAAAAGAAAAACTCAATTCTTATTCTATTTTTGTTTCATATTGTATCTTAGGATTTTGTTTTTAATTTTCATATAGTATGTATTTCTCTACTTATCAATTTTTTTAAGATTCAGTCTGTATATAGATGTTTTATATTCAACGAAGAAAGCAAATGGCAATCTCCTTTATATAAAAGAGATAGATTTCTAGGCTTCTAAGGGCTGTCACATCAACAAAAATAATTAACCAGTGATATATTCAAAAACTGCTATGTCATCTTCTTCAACCAATAATTTAAAGCCATTTCATTAAATAATTTACTAATCAAAATTTTCTCAAATTTTACCTACAAACAAACTTTTATAATTCTTAAATTCTCAATAAAATAAAATAAAAAACAAAGCTAAAAGAAAACTGAAAACGAATTACACTAAAACTCAATTATAAAGCTGAAACAAAAGCTCATTTTATGGAGTCATTATCTTCTCGGTTTCCAATCATCTCGTCTCTGACTCACCAGAAACAGAATCAGCCGTCACTAAACATAAATTTTACTTTTTAATTAATGACAATCAAACTGGTAATAAACAATAAAACTTAAATAAGTGGAGCATAAACATTTAGAAATCCAAAAGACATAGCAACGAGGATGTCAAAAAAAAAGACATAGCGATGAACCACATATGGTATAAATAATACACAACTCTATCACAAATGAACTCTAATATGTCTCATGCTTGAGATTGTTGTAAGCAACATAAAAATACAATCTCACAACTGTTTTGCATTTACATTTATAATGTGAATCGAGTAGAATGAGTCTCAATCATAGTATTGTTGGAACTGGAGAACGTCTTTCTCGCCAAAAGTAAAACTTAAGGAGCGACTCGGTTTTCTTTCTTCTAGAGAAAATTAATTTATACAATTGTAAATTTTTTACTTATAACAGATTTCAAGTTTCTAAAGATGATATAGAGTTTCATATTATTCATTGTAATCCGATATTGTGGAAAAACTGAAGTAAAAACATAACTAAAGAACCGGTGATCAAAGACAGTTTACTCACTATTTCTTAATTTTCATTTGTAAAGTTTCATGAAACATAAAACTGAAAAAAAAAAAATTCAAATAACATATAAAAATAAATTCCACACTCTTCACCAATATTGACAAATAATTGAGCTAGCTTAACTATCAAACACATATTATATCAATTAATAAGAAACTCATTTAATAAATAATTTTATTATTTTTAATAAATGTGAATTTACGTCTTTTGAAGACAAGTTAAGGGTCAACTATACTTATAATTTTCTAACTTTCGTATGCCTGTAGGGTTTAGATAATAAGTTTAACAAGTTCCTAACTTTCATATGCTAGCATCAATAACATCAATTGAAATAGACAAATCTGTAATCACAGGCTTTCCAAAGTAGTGATGCTTCAAGTCTCTTTGGGGATTGGACCAGTTAAGCGATTTCCCCGGACCGTGCTGCATTAACAAGATCAAACATCAATTATCCGAATGTGTAATTGTTTATGTTACATTGTTACAATGCTTTATATCATAAAAAAACATGTTCTTACATGGTTGTAAGTTGAGTAAAACATATGTAAAAGTTGAGTAAAACATACGTAAAAGTTGAGTAAAATGTAATAAAATGATATGCAAAGATTATAACAAAACGATATGTATGAAAAGTGAAAACTGTTTTGATGTAAACAATTAAAACAACTTTTCTTTTTACAACAACCGATTGAAACTTAAATCAGGCTTACAAAACATTATAACAAACCTAAATTAGTCTTTATTCGAAAAAAGAAGAAATAACAATCATAGCAAATATTTCAGGTGAATCTAGTGGCAAATCTCCCCATTTGGGAGGGATTGAACCGTTAAGATAGGTCCTCGCAAGATTACTATAAAGAAACGTGAGAGTTAACGATTACTTTGAAAAAAAAGATGCACTAATTGATAAATCATGGTAACAATTTGTGTAAATTGATATGTTTTGCTTACATCTCCTGAAGGTGAGGAAGACTTACAAACTCCTTCGGAAGAGACTTTTGAAGATTTTGAGACTTCAAAATTCTATAGAGCAAAGGAGAACTATGTAAAACATCTAATATGCCCATCAGATTAAAGATAAAGGAAAAAAGGAAAAAAATCTTACATGCTTGTAACATGACATTCAGTTCCATTAAGGAAAGAACAATTGCAACTCACAGTATTTTCAAATCCTTCAATAGGGAGTTTTCTCCATCCACTTACACTCTCCCATGGGTTCACACTAAACTTCCAATTTGTCTTCTTTAATATCCTAGCAATAGTCCTCAAGGCTTCCACTGTAAAATGAAAAACATTGGTACAAATCATATAACACATATATGAACATGAACACGGTTTATAATCTATACAGATAGATGGGTATCTTCTTGGGTGGGCAAAGTTGTTGGTAATCCAAAACCAACGAAGAGAAAAACTAAAAAGCAGCAAGCAATTAGAAATCAGAATAGAATTCTTGTTTGTGATGCTATTTTCTTCGACAAAAATTAAATTTTTTTTAAAAAATATGTTCGTTGAGTGAGGGAACAGTATTTTTGTTGAAGGAGAGAACAATATTGCACCTTATGGAGCAAACAAGCCCATTTTCTATTTTTTTTTTCAAAATTCAAGATAGTCATTTTTCATCGAATAAATGAATATTTCTAGTAAGCATACATTTATTATGTCATATGATAACCTTCTGATTCTAAAAAAGAGCCAGTAATTAGTTTATG